TCAGAGCTTGTCAATATAAGTTTGTGTTTTTTATAGTTTAGTTTCGTGGAAAGAGTTCTGTTGTAGTGTAAATATCTATTAAAATAAAGCCTTCCATAAAGGATCTTTCACAATCCACATGACAGACCAATCACAATTCAGTATGCAAATGAATAATTTGTAATAATAATAAGAGTAATTTTACAGTGTGTTGGCCACATCTGGGCCAGAGGAAATTGTCCGTTTTCAGTGTGTGGGCTAGTTTTCGGCCTGGAACCTCAACCAGAACTGGCAATATGACATCATGACTTTTGCGTAAACATACATGCCACTTTCGAGTCAAGTGGCGTGTTATCTCTACGCATTTTGTGCTATTCGCGTGTATGCGCGTGTTTGCGTGTACGTCTACGCCATTAACGTTCGCGTCATTCCGCGTGTCTGTACATGCCGTCAAATGTCCGGTCGTAAATGCCATTAACCCCAGTGACGGTTAAGTTTAGGGATGGGGTTGAGGTAAGTCATATCTTTTTTTTACCTAGGTTGGTAAGGGAACAGTCATAAATGCCATTAACCCCAGTGACGGTTAAGTTTAGGGTTGGGGTTGAGGTAAGTCATATATTTATATAACGTTAAATCAACGGCGTTCATAAACACGCTGAAAAGCAATTATGCGTCTTGATAGCACGCCAAAAATGGAAATACGAATTGGCGTGTCATACACACGCTACTTCATGAGATCAGTCTGGAACTGGGCCAGAATTAAAGCAAGGATGAGACCCCTGAGAATCCCCAATTGCTATCTGGGAATGCAGTACTGTGTGGAGATATTGTCAATACGAATGATTTGAATGCCAAATTGAGATTTTCAAACTAGTTTAATAAAAAGATGGCACATCAAAGGCTAAAATTAAATAAATAACCAAAAATGTTAAGTATAATGTTTCAAGAATATCTATTTATAGCTGGTGTTCCTCAAAAGAAACATCCTCACAACATGTCATGATGCAGACAAATTGCCCGATCTATCACAGATCTATCTCTGACCTCATCTGTCACTCAAAACAGGTTTAAGCAAGACCAACAGATATACCTTTTGTTTGTCTACACTAATGGGAAATTCTCTCCTCCATCAGCCAATGGAAAAGACAGCAACTTATCTAGACACTAGGTTTCGTTGTTGCCCTTTAGGACACCAAAGTTAACACGGTTGATTACTGCCGTTAAATTAACAGGGCAGAAATCCAACCCTAAAGTCACCCGACATGCGTCCTTTACTCCATGTACTGTAGCTCAGAAACCTTGAAGATGGAAAATACAAGACTGAACTATTTCCTGTCAGAGCGTCCTGCTCCTCACCCCCGGCGTGGGTGCTGTGATTCAGCAGCTCATAGAAAAGTAGTCCTTGAGCCAGCAGCTATTGTGACAGTTCAGCAATAAGCAACTAGAAAACACACACCCCTGCATGCCTACATCTCACACCAAAACCACAGTGAAATGGATTTTTATTCTTTTTTTCTCCATAGATGCATTAAATATTTGTATTCATGAGGGCACACAAAATTGACATAATTCTTCTATTATTTTCTGACAACGTTACAGAACATCTCTGTTGTGCAATTTGCATAAATACATAATTTTCTTGAGTTCTCCGAGATTATTTGTCTGCTGTTGAGCGCGTTTGAGTTTGACTGAAATGTTTTAGATCCCTGAAAGAGGGTCACAGGGGAAACGTATGTCCTTTCCACTTACACAGTCTCTTTGTTACGAGAGTCTTTTCTGAGCCTCAATCCGAATAAAAAGAGACAGTGAAAGGAAAGAGAAAGGAAGAGGCAAATTAGGTAAAAGGAGAGAGATGCAACACAACACTGCCATCAGGGGAAAAAAACAAAGAGGACCAAAAGGACAAGAGGACCGATGCTTGGTCCGTTTGAAGTCCTTTATCGGAGAGGGGCTCTTTGAAAAAAAAAAAAAAAAACTAAATTAGCCTAGATTGAAAACTGGACAAAAATTGCATATATAATGAAAAAGGACACTTCAAAGACCCAATACACAATTGTTGGAGTGGAATACAAATAAAGCAGGCACATAAAATGACAAATAATGAACATGATGTCTAAACCTAATAGCAAATATATATATAAATGGAAAAACACCAAGCTTTTCATTGTCTTAACCACAAAATATTGGTCAGGATATGAGGATACTTAACGGTGAAAAGACTAAATTCTGTCATTGTTTACTCAACCTCATGTTGTTTCAAACCTGTATGAGTTTCTTTGGTCTGTTGAACACAAAAAAATATATATTTTAAAGAATGTTGTAAATCAAACCGTCTACTGTCTGGTTACCAGCATTCTTCAAAATATCTTATTTTGTGTTCAGAAAAACAAAGAAACTCATACAAATTTGGGAGAACTTGAGGGTGAGTAAATGATGAACATCTTTTTATAAACACTTTTATTTTTGGGTGAACTTTCCCTTTAACAGAGAGTGGAACACACTGACTCTTCTTCCTGTAAAAAGCTGTCGGCAAGGCTATTCTAAGTTACTTTATCTACATTCTTGCTCATTTCCTGACCAGTGATTTGTGATTAAAATGGTTAAGATCATTAAAAGACTAAATATTTTGCCAGTTTTTTGTTTTGAAATAGATATGACATAAGATCATAGAAAGTGCAGTACTGACCGAATACACACATTTTCATGCACTCTTTACTTGTAGAGACCTATATGACATTCACTAATGGCGCTTTTCCACTGCATGGTTCGGTATGGCACGCTTTGGCGCTTTTCCACTGCATGGTACGGTACGGCTCAGCTCGGTACGGCTCACTTGTGGCGCTTTTACACTGCATGGTTCGGTTCGCCTCGCTTCGCACACACACAAAACAAGACTTACTATGCGGGTCAGGGCTGTGAAGTTGCAGATACTGCATGTCTTTGTTGTGTAGCTGTGTATTGAGTTTGTGTAGAGAGCTTTCTCTCTGCCTCAGAGCCGACTCTAGACTGTGAATCCGCTCGACGTGTTTCTCCACCATAGACGCCTGAGACCGGGAGAGAGTGAAAGAAGATAGAGAAAAGAAGAGAGGGAAAGGGACAAAGATGAGCACAAAATAAAAGATTATAAAATATTAAAACTGAAACGCCAAAAAGAGAAAGCACAGAGAGTAACATGGGCAAAGAGGGACTGATCAAAAGATAGACAAGGCCAAGGAAGCCATTACATTCACCATGCAGATTCCTCACGACATTCAAGTCCATTTGGAATTTTTTGTCAGCAATAAAAGATGAGGACATGTAGATCTAACAGCTGATAGCTGGCTGAGTGTTTCGGAGAGGCGAACGGCGCAGATGCTCAAAAGCTTGCATCATGCAATTTTCAAAATTTCACTCTTTTGGTCCCAATCCATTAAAAGCCATTTGAGACCCATGTTTAAAACTGAGAATTGAAATGTGCATATATGATTACATATATCCAGCATCACCCACTTGGCTGGGAAATATAAGAGCCCAATTACATTCACACAGCCTCGTTAGGACGTACGCATAGTACAAGATTAATCAAGTGGACACCTGGTTGGATTAAAGCCTGAAGCACATGGAGAGGCTAATTATCGCAACTGCCCATCCGCTCGGCAGCCAAACTTAGCATGGATGTTGGGAAATGAATTTTTAGAAGAGCTCTCACCATCTTGTCCAGGTCTCGCTGAAGGCTGGACTTCTCCATGTGGATCTTCTCATAGGCCTGAATGACATCTTCAAGCTGCTCCTCTCGTTCTTTGCTCTTCTGAAGCTGCAGAACACACACACACACACACACATCTTCATTTTTAAATTTCATCAAAACATTATTTAGTGTGTTTAATATGTGCTTTGAATTACAAGCGCAGTTGGGCCATCCTCAGGCTGTATAATGACAAGCTGTTGTAACATTTGGTCTTAGGCAGGTGTAGTAGCCTATAAAAATATATTAAAAGCATTCTAATTGTGTCAGTTATTTCTTGTCATATTTATTTTTGGACTGGCTTGTTTGTTACCATTATGGAATTTATTTGTTTCTAGTAGGCCCATAAAATCTACGGAGCCCCCCTAGTCCCACTTTGGCAAAAAAAAAAATAATTATAACTATATCTTGTGGCCTCAAGATACTATCTCGTGGACTCAAGATACTATCTTGTGGACTCAAGATAGTAACTTGTGGCCTCAAGATAGTAACTTGTGGCCTCAAGATAGTAAGTCGTGGCCTCAAGATAGTAAGTCGTGGCCTCAAGATAGTAAGTCGTGGCCTCATAGTAACTCGTGGCCTCAAGATAGTAACTCGTGGCCTCAAGAAAGTAACTCGTGGCCTCAAGAAAGTAACTCGTGGCCTCAAGAAAGTAACTTGTGGCCTCAAAATACTATCTCGTGGCCTCAAGATAGTAACTCGTGGCCTCAAGATACTATCTCGTGGCCTCAAGATACTATCTCGTGGCCTCAAGATAGTAACTCGTGACCTCAAGATAGAGTTAGTATTTTGAGGCCACGAGTTACTATCTTGAGGCCACGAGTTAGTATCTTGAGGCCACGAGATAGTATCTTGAGGCCACGAGATAGTTATAATTAATTTTTTTTCCAAAGTGGGACTAGGGGGGCTCCGTAAAAATCAGTTTTGCTGGAATCTGTGATCTAAATCTTATGCAATTAACTTTTTTTTCTGCCACATGTACTGCACTGTTGAGCAACAGTAACTGTTAACTATATTTTAATAATATGAGGCTCAACTATGGAAAAACAACAAGGATTTCCCCCCCTTATTCTGGAAATATATTTTTACTCAGATTTTAACCTTTTTTTTTACCAATATATTTCACATTTATTAGAAATATTTAATTTGTGTGTATGTGTGAATGACATATTTGTACATATACATACATAGATACTAGGTAAAACAGTGGTACTGTATATGATTACCGAGTTTATGACATTCTTCATTTTTTGCTATCCTGCTGACAAATTAGCAACAGAAAACCTAAGTTTATGTTTACAAAAACATGGATGTACAAGAAAAAGTAAGCTTTTGAGTGGCAAAAGGGCAAGTGACTGTTCTGTCAACTGTTCATGTTGCATACAAATTTCATATTCTGACAAATTGCTTGTCAGTAGAAACAGGTTAGGAAAAAAGAATAAAAACATTTATTGACAGAGGGTGTTTTACCTGACATAAAAATGAAAGAAATACATTTGTGTCGTTGCCCGCACTTTCATTTTGTTACAGACGCATAAGCATCTACTTCAATTATCATATAACACACCTCTCTGTAGTGATCCCTTTGGCTTCACAGATAATAGTAGCTTATTTTCAGAAAAATAACAGAACGGGTTATTTACTTTCAGTTGTGCTGCATTAGATCTCTGCAATAGCTCATGACTGCAAAACTCATTGGTTTTAGGGGGGAAAAAAGAAGTAAAGAATGAAACACAACAAGACATGAATAAAGGAGGAAATCCAAAGTCAAGCGATGATAGAGGGGAAGAATAAGGAATGTAGTGTACACACAAAGTATCAAACGTCAGCAAAAGCGAGGGAGGTGTGGGAGAGAGAAGAACAGATGACAAAGAGAAATCTAGCTCTTCGACGAAGGGAAGGCTGCTGGGTGGCTATGGAAACACATAGCAAGCATCATTAATTAATGAGACGCTTCGCCAGGCAATGAGCCGAAAGATGCAGAGAGAGAGAGTATGATCTTCCCATTTACACTCCACATCACAGCCAGTCGGGGGAGATGATTGAGAGTGGGCTTCAGGCACACAAAACCAAAGTAGTCTAGATTACGTAAGGCTTTGTCATGAATGACTGGGCATTCAAGAGTTGTCCTTCATTACCCTACTAATCGTATTACTATAACTCTCTAATCTTTCCATTTTGTGTTGTGTAATTCAGATTTACAAAACAAAATAGCCAAGTCACAAAATAACAAGTCCAGAAAGAGGAGGATGTGTGTATATGTGTTTGTCCTCTCACCTCGAGGGTCAGCATGTTGACTCTCTGTTGCAGACTTCCATTCTCTGACTGGAGCAACGCTGTGTCTTTGGGCTCAAAGGAGCAGTAGGAGTTTCTGTCCTCTCCAAACTCGCTTATCATGGGGAACTACACACACGTACAAGAAAAGTGGCACGGGTCATTACAGGAACACACAGCCATTAAACAGAATCATTTAGGACTGGTTTCACAAACAGGGTTTCGATTAAACCAGGATTAGGCATTTAATTGGGACATTTAAGTAGCTTATAGCCCTAGAAAAAAAAAACATTACTGGTGTGAATCTTGAGACAAAACAATGGCACTGACATATTTTAAGATAGTTGCACCACTTTCGTCACACAAACCATCATATTCATTAACCACCCACAATCTGGTTTAATCGGGCACTAAAGCACTGTTTAAATGAAGTCACTGTCTTTCTTTGTAGCACAAATAACCATTCTTTCTATGCAAATGAGGTCTAGAGATTTAACATTGTGCCGAAAGCAGATATATATATATTTTTATTTTTATTTTATTTTATTTTTTTAAACAGATGCTTGTGAAAATTCTCAAGGAATTATGAAATGATCAAGAAAAGCATTGGGCATATCCAGATGATATATGGTATAATAAAGCATATGTTGCTACTCTCTCACCACTTTCCTTTCCTATAAAAAAGGCAAATGCCAAAAATAGATACATTCTTTCTTTAAAAAATAAATTATTACTTTTATTCAGCAAGGATAATTTCAATTGATCAAAAGTAACAGTTAAAACATTATAATTAAAAAAAAAAAGATTTATATTTCAAAAGAACAGCATTAGCCTTTTTTTTAACAAAAGTATTTAATAACTACTTTCAAAATAATGACATAATAATTAATTATGTACATAAAAGTACACCACAACTATTTTCACCATTAATTAATATAATTTTACTATATTAATAAGATTACTATATTTTTGCATTTCAGAGTGATTTCTGAAGGATCACAATTCATTTTTCACATCACAGGAATACGTTACATTTTAAATCAGTTATTTTAAATTATAATAACATTTCACAATATTACATTTTTTACTGTAAAATAAATACATCCTTTTAACAAAATCTTACCAACAACAAACTTTTGAACAATAGTGTATTTGCAAGACTGAAAAAGGAACCTCTTTATGTATTGCCCTCAGATGGAATAAAGTTAATCTGCAATTTAGCAGCATATGATTAAAACCCGACCCGTATTCGTAATGGTGTTACAGTAACATACAGTATACACACTATAATATACATCAGTAGATGCTGTGTGCACTCATAGATATCATATAGAGACTAGATGCCCTATTGGCTGCTGGGCACTGAGAAATCTGAATCTTGAACCGGTCGTTTTCCTATTGTGTTGCATAGCAGCAGTAGATGGCAGAGTACTGTGCAGCATATTCCTGCTCAAATCGGTGGACCATCGCTCGGGAATTACTTTTCACAATTAAGATTTAACATTACCGTTCTAATGGTTGTATCATGTGAGTAAAATATCCCATGTGTCCTGTATCATAGCTACGTATGACCTTTGCAGCACAAAACCCCGCGTGAAAATCAGTTGGGTATTCAGTGAGATATGATAAATTAAATGCGCTCAGCTCATATCACCTGTCAAACAGATACAACGAGTGGAGCGGATTACCAGTTTAAGATGGCCGCGCCAATAGGCAGTAGTGGTCGATAGGGCGTCTATCTATATGATGTCTGTGTGTGCACTGATGTGCTGAATCCTATACATTTTTACTCCCACAAGCTTTGAGAGCCGTGTGCATTTATTCCCCACTTTTAGCCCTTTACTAGGCAGTGAGCCATGGTGAACGCAGAACCCTGGAGGCTCTCTCGCTCTCTCTCTCTCTCTCTCTCGCCTTCTGCAAAAACAGCTGTTCTTCAGAGCCTAGCCATCCTTGGTGCGTATACATGCATATGTTTGGGCAGGGCCAAACCAAAACGCTTTAAAAATACCCAGTCTGGAGCATCTACAACCTGCAGCTCCCCAAAGCTGGCCAGCCTACATAGTCGTACAAATAGAGTCTTACTCTGTTGAGTGTGTTACTGCACAGCACAAGCATTGTGCTCCTGATTTGTAATCCACGGAAGATAAACATTCTCATCTAAATGTGAATAATAATCACGTGTTCATGTTTAATGATTAATAGAGACGTGATCTACTTTCCTAACAGCGATCTAAACAGCATCAGGAGCATCTTGCATTGTGTGTACAAGTGGCTTTGTGCATTTTTATGTGGATGCGTGACATGCTAATTACAGAGAGCATGCACACTTGTTCATGTACAGCTCGGCTCACATGTTAGCTGGCCTATAAATAAAGCTCTTTCATACATGAAGCAGGCACAGATCTTAATGAGTGCTGTCATGCCACAGCCATTAATCAACTTAATGTTATTTGCTTATATGGCCACAGCTTATCAGTATTCAGCTGCTGAACTCACAAAGATCAGTATAATTTCACAAGAAAACTGTAAAGCAACTCCGCAATAGTTATATAAAAAATGTGCATCAGGTAAACATATTATCACTTGCTAGGTGTGTCCACTCTTGTGTACTCTAATGTCTTTTATTCAACGTCAGTGACCATGTCACAGTCTCTGCATTGATCGGAGATGAGGCCGGAGAAAAGGGTTTAGGATTTCCACGCCCTACTTTTGACTGGATGATTATGTTATAATATTTTGAGCGTGGCATGGTTGTTGGTGCCAGATGGGCCGGTCTGAGTATTTCACAATCTGCTCAGTTACTGGGATTTTCACGCACAACCATTTCTAGGGTTTACAAAGAATGGTGTGACTGTGAAAAGGGGAAAAACATCCAGAATGCGGCAGTCCTGTGGGCGAAAAATGCCTTGTTGATGCTAGAGGTCAGAGGGGAATGGGAATGATTCAAGCTGATAGAAGAGCAACTTTGACTGAAATAACCACTCGTTACAACCGAGGTATGAGGCAAAGCATTTGTGAAGCCACAACCGGCACAACCTTGAGGCGGATGGGCTACAACAGCAGAAGACCCCACCGGGTACCACTCATCTCCACTACAAATAAGAAAAAGAGGCTACAATTTGCAAGAGCTCACCAAAATTAGACAGTTAAAGACTGGAAAAATGTTGCCTGGTCTGATGAGTCTCGATTTCTGGCGTAAACAGAATGAGAACATGGATCCATCATGCCTTTGTGTTACCACTGTGCAGGCTGGTGGTGGTGGTGTAATGGTGTGGGGATGTTTTCTTGGCACACTTTAGGCCCCTTAGTGCCAATTGGGCATCGTTTAAATGCCACGGCCTACCTGAGCATTGTTTCTGACCATGTCCATCCCTTTATGGCCACCATGTACCCATCCTCTGATGGCTACTTCCAGCAGGATAATGCACCATGTCACAAAGCTCGAATCATTTCAAATTGGTTTCTTGAACATGACAGTGACTTTACTGTACTAAAATGCCCCCCACAATCATCAGATCTCAACCCAATCGAGCATCGTTGGGATGTGGTGGAACGGGAGCTTCGTGCCCTGGATGTGCATCCCACAAATCTCCATCAACTGCAAGATACTATTCTCTCAATATGGGCCAACATTTCAAAAGAATGCTTTCAGCACCTTGAATCAATGCCACGGTCAAACACAGTATTAGTATGGTGTTCCTAATAATCCTTTAGGTGAGTGTACGACAAATGTTAAAGGCCCCCTAAAATATATATATATATTTGTTACAACATTTTTTTCAGTTTTTAGTATGAATGTGTTTTCCTTAAGGTTATGAATAAGCTGGTGTGTCTATGATCAAATCTAAATCTATTACAAAATTCGCATTTAGTAGATATAAAAATTAAAAGCGTACAGTCTTTCACTTTCGCTAAAATGGATTACAGATTTTTATGACATTAACATGGACTTCAGATTCTCATCACATTTTCTGTCCAATCAAATTCTCTCTGGAATCTAAAGCATCCCGCCCCCTATGCTATAAATAGCACCAGGCCAAAGCAACCGTTGACACTTCACACAGCAATATGGGTTGGAGAGGTGCGTTTGGTTTCTCAAACGTTCGAGTATTATTCCGTTTTTTTAAACGTACAGACTGATCTCATGAAGTAGCGTGTGTATGCCACGCCAATTCGTATTTCCATTTTTGGCGTGCTATCAAGACGCATAATCGCCTTTCAGCGTGTTTATGAACACCGTTGACTTAACGTTATATAAATATATGACTTACCTCAACCCCGTCCCTAAACCTAACCGTCACTGGGGTTAATGGCATTTATGACTGTTCCCTTACCATCCTAAGTAAAAAAAAGAAATGACTTACCTCAACCCCATCCCTAAACTTAACCGTCACTGCGGTTAATGGCATTTATTACTGGAGATTTGACGCGGAATGACGCGGACGTTAATGGCGTAGACATACACGCATACACGCGGATACACGCGAATAGCTCAAAATGCGTAGAGATAACACGCCACCTGACTCGAAAGTGGCGTGTATGTTTACGCAAAAGTCATGATGTCATGTTGGGTTAAGAATGAAATGGCTATTATTTATTCACACCTCTACTATTGAATCCAACGTATAATAATCAGTGCTCAGATTCGCTTCCATAGTGCTGTCAAGTACGACTTGCAGTCTGTGAGGTAAACTAAACGCTATTGGCCATTTGAAAAGGGTGAGGGGACATTCAATATGTCCCACCTTAGCTTCCTTTTTCAGTCGAAATTACATCAACATATTATACAAAGCTGTGCGTTCAAATGCACTTCAGTGGGCCTTTAAGCATCCCTACACTGTTGTATAGTAAAAAAAAATTTGATAGGCATCATCATTTGAAAATTATTAATTTTAAAATGAAAAATTTTATCTACAGTAGCACGTGGACAATAAATGTCTACCAATTTCAGTTCACACTATCGGTAGTTACAACAGGTGACCTCTGCTAATATCTGAGGCTAAAGGCATTTTGTACCTTTATCTCGTAAATCTTGAGTTTTCTTTTGATGTCTGCATTCTCTCGCTCGAGGCCAGCCAGTCGAGTCTTAATGTCCTGGTATGCGCTGATGAGGGCGAAGTGTGAGGCAGAGTACATATCCTCTGATAAGGGAGAGCTGGACCAGCCCACCCCACAGCCATCTTCTTTCAGACCCTCGTTACCCCCCAGCAAGCCCAACTGGCCCCCGAAGAGAGACTCCATGACTTCCGATCCTCAACCTGTGAGATGTGAGAGAGAAAGAGAAAGGTTATTTATGTGCATCAAAAATGTGAGCTAATCAGCCTTGTGAGGTTCGTCTTTCATCTTGAGCATAATTTATCACTTCTTCTCATCACTTCTTCAATGGTTCTGTTATGGTGCGTGCTCTACCCTTTCTAAGCTCCACTTCACCCTCACTCAGGATAATTATTTCCTTTCTCAACTACACTTCTCATTAGTATTGACATCCATGCCACAAACCACGAAACCGCACCAAACAAAAGCATCTTTACTAAAGGCCAAGGTTGTTTTCTTTCTCGACCACATGTCCTTTAGATTCTCTGGATAAGTTTGGTCATTTTTTGGAGGGGGGGATTTTTCTTATTCGGGAAGAAAAAAAGCCAGAGATACATAAAAGGGCTGAACGGCATGATCTGATTCAAGAACAAGCTGTGCTGCTAAGAGGATGACATCACCGCCTAGCAACAATGACTGTGATCACAAGTACAGCTGCCATTTCTTACAAGCTTCAACAGGGTCAGCAATTTTTGTAAATACAGCATGGCGATGACATTAAATTAGTTGGAGAGAAAATTAGGCATGTCAAAAATCTGCCATCATTTAATTTTTTTATTGATGGTGTACACATATAAATTGTGTTCCGAAACCTAATGAGTTGCCTAGCTGTCGTCTTTAAGGCAGCATCCTATCTGAAATAAAACCTCTTAAGTGACAGATTTGGAGCGCTCTACATAGGCAGCAACTCTGTGCGTCATATAAATAGTGCTTCTCACACAAACCACACAGGAGATATGACTCACAATCGATGGCTAGCGTTTGCTGTTTGCATGTTGCTAAGCTAACAATGCAATACATAGTTCATGCAAATATTGTGTATACTTTTAATATTTTGTAATTGGCCCATTTGTTATTAGACTGAAATCATTTGTATCCATACATTTCAGTTTTGATTATGTACAGTTGTGTAAATATATTAGTATATTTCCATTTTTAAATGGTTATCAACAGAAGATTTCATCCAAATAAATAAAAAAATGAAATATAAACTACAATCAACAACGTAAAAATCTACAAGTGAAGTAAGGCACCACAACATATTATAATTGTAACACAAAATTTTAGAGTGATATTTTTCCAATTTTTCCGAATTCTTTCATGAATAGAAAATGCACTGACACTTTTGATTATGTTTAATGCATCATTTCAGAATAAAAGTATTTATAAAAATAATAATAATCATACTGATCTCAAACTTTTGAACGGTAGTGTAAAATTGGCCGAGATAAATGGGTTAAAGACTACATTTATCAGTCTTACTAAATTGTTTATTTAACTGTAAAAGTTGGCCAACTTTCACAAAGACAATCTAAGACTATGACTGCAAAGAAATCTAATTGTTAGAATGGTTACAATAAGAAATATCCAATCTGATTCTGATTAAAATATATATATATATATATATTTTTTTACATATTTTTCTATGACTAAAAAATATTTGTAGTTTTGTATAATATAGTTTTAGATAGTTTATAGTCATACATTTTATTAAAATATTGGCCGATAACCAATAATAATATTATCCTAATATTTTGGAACAGCTTTCGTGTCGGAAGTGTAGACTAACTGCTCATTGAACATTGAACTTGACTTGAATGCATGATGTGTCAGGCAGCCATGTTTGTATAGAGGTGTAGCTCTATTAGTCCTGTGTGTTGCCTTCACTATGATGAATCGCTCCAGAGTCGTCAACAACACTCATAAGGAGGAACACAAACATGTATAGATGACATGGAGTAAGCAGAAAAAAGTAACATTTTCACTGTTAAGCGTTTATTAAGATAATATGGATATGTGTGCAGCATAAGGTTGGCCATCTGATACACCATGGATGTGTGAGGAGATTTAACTGCACACAAAATGACTCAGATGCTTCTTACTTAGTAAGCTATTTTTGATCACTTGCGTACCAATGTTAAAAAAAACATACAAAGAAGCCTTGGACCTCTTCCTGGGTGTTCTCTTGATTCTACTCTCTCTCTTTCTCTCCATCCTTCAGGGTAATCCAGAAAAAACACCCACTCACACCAATACATTTGCTCAGGCACGGCTAAGCAGCATGACCATGGGGGAGAGATTGCTGTTCTGATGAAGGTGTGAATGTGTGTAGGTGCAAGAATATCACTTTAGAGACATTCCAACCCACTACATTAATACAAGTGTGTTCTCACTCAGGGCTTCTCTGTGTGCTGCATGAGGAATTGCAGCACAATGCACTTATATCATGTGATGTCTATGTTATTGCAAACATAATGAAGTGTCATGCCCATGTAATCTATTTCCCTGATAAAAAAGTGCCATGATTATCATAGTGCAACATTTTTGGAGCTAAAACACAGCAGTCAGAATCAGAAATCACCAAACTACATGGTGATTTGTAATACATCAATCCGATAGGGTTGCACATTTTTTTCCCCTGTGAAATTCAAAATCGGTAATGGAAATGTCAGTGTTGCTCTTTTTCATACAATAAAAATGGCATTGACTGGCTGTCAAGTTCAGCTGCAATTTTGCATGGTTTATAAAAAAGAAAACAGATGCTGAGACGGGTGGTCATGGAGGACAAACGTGACTGGGACCTCATGATACCCCATGTCCTTTTCGGGATCCGCAAAGTTGCCCAGACCTGAACGAGTTTCACCCCGTTTGAGCTCCTTTTCAGCCGAAAACCCCACGGTCTCCTGTATGTAGCAAAAAAAGCCTGGGAGCAACAGCCTGCAGCCCATTGCGACGCAAAGTACCTGGGTATCCAGGTCGGTAGGGGTCTCATCCGACCGCAAGAGAAAAAAGTAGAGGTAATCCACTCAACCCCAAGAACCAAAACAAAGACCCAGCTATGAGCGTGTGACGAGCACCCAGAGGATTCATCAGCATCGCCCTGGAAACAGACGAGGAACACCTGCATGCCCTCTTCACAGGCTGATCCGGCCCCAGCCATGCTCCATCAAGCAAACAGCCACATAAGCCACGTGGACACAAATGGAGAGACATCTCTGCACGAGACAGAACGTTAATGCTTTTTCTTTCTCCAGAAAACAGCAGTTGACCACTCAGCTTCCAAGAAGCACAGTTCAGACTCGATGCATTACAAGGAAAAGGCAACGCACGTCACCAGGTTTTTCCTTTCTTTTTTTTTCTTTCTTCATGTTGTAAATAAATCCACTTTTGGGCACTTTGCATGAGCTCCCCTTGTCGTGTGATTCTTCACCCCGTGACTATATATATAATATTACAATTAAGAAATATACAGTTATTTATTATAAATGTATAATAATGTGCTGCATGTTTCAGAGTGAAGCACAAATAAATCTGTTATTTTTAGTACATACATACATGCATCTTCTTCCGCTTCATCCGGGGCCGGGTCGCGGGGGCAGCAGTCTAAGCAGAGATGCCCAGACTTCCCTCTCCCTAGACACTTCCTCTAGCTCTTCTGGGGGGACACCGAGGCGTTCCCAGGCCAGCCGGGAGACATAGTCTTTCCAGCGTGTCCTAGGTCTTCCCCGGGGCCTCCGCCCAGTGGGACGTGCCCGGAACACCTCCCCATAGACCTCCCCATAGACCCCTCCTTGAACTGCCACCTTAACGTGGTGGAGGGGTTTGAGTACCCGAATGACCCTATAGGAGCTATGTTGTCTGGGGCTATATGCCCCTGGTAGGGTCTCCCAAGGCAAACAGGTCCTAGGTGACGGGTCAGACTAAGAGCGGTTCAAAAACCCCTTATGAGAACAATAGATTTAAGGACCGTGACGTCGCCCTGTATGGCGCAGCCGGGGCCCCACTCTGGAGCCAGGCCCGGGGTCGGGGCTCGTATGCGAGCGCCTGGTGGCCGGGCCTCTCCCCTCCCCTCCGCTCAGCCCAAAGGAGCGACGTGGGACTGCCTTCCCGTGGGCTCACCACCTGCAGGAGGAGCTGTAAGGGGCCGGTGCAAAGAGGATCGGGTGGCAGTCGAAGGCAGGGGCCTCTGCGACCCGATCCCTGGACACAGAAACTTATTTTTAGTAAGATGGTAATATATTTCGGTATTTATTTTATTTTTTTTTAGAAATAAAGTTAAAATATACTACTACTGTAATGGACTGTCTGTTTTTATTTTATGGACTTTTAGTTTTTTCCGAGTTACCTGTTTCCCGCTCTTCATTTGTTGCCATGGTTTTTGTGAGTTACACATTGTTACGAAGCCTTTCTATTTGTGGATAACTTGAGCTTGTTTTAATGATAAAACATTTGTTTGTTTTTTTGAACGCTTTCATCATAGTCAGGACAAAACTACTAAAACTGACAATGAATACCGTACTACGATGATTATTATTATTATCATCAACACAGAACCGTGACCATAGATATGTGTTGTTAAATTATTGAAATATTAACTTGGAAAAAATATCTCATTGGGTACTTGAAGTAAATATATTAGGTTATAAGCTGAGAAAAAAGTTGTGGAATCTCCTGCATTGCATGTAAATATGAAACGATGTGAATTTTCAGATTTTCATCAGAAGATCCAATAAGCAATGTTGAGAATACACTTCTTAAAAAAAAAAAATAGGTGTCTGTAAATCCAGTGATTAATGCTGTGTGGGTCTCAGTTTCCAGTGATAGGAACATGACTGCGTGTGGCTGGTCCACAAACCTGGAACTAGGGAGCTTCAACGAATAATGACTAATTTACTGCCATTGTGTAATTTTCTCAATAGAAAAGTAAATTATTACATTGTTTAAATTAGTATTTTTTAGCTAACAGTGATTTGTTTATATACATTTATGAAATACATAACTAAGTTAACGCTAACAGATCACTCTATTAAATTAATGCTGGACTCATTTTCTGCAAAGCTGCTTTGAAACAATGTGTATAGTGAAAAGAGCAATACAAATAAATGTGAATTGAATTGAATACTCTGATTACATTTTCCCCAATCCAGATTACATATAATCAGTAACTAATTTACTACCCAGCACAGAAACCAGTATTTCAATCTGGGTCTCATTGCTCACTGATTCAAAAACTATTGTTAGAACTTGTCTTACACAAAACAAACTAGTCCATTGTTAAAACATTTTTTTTATTCTTGCCACTGGTGCCCCCTAAAACAAATAGATGCAGCTGACAAGAATGCAGCTCTTGCACAAACAAATAGCCATCCCAGTCTCAGTGAAAACAAGAATTTAAGCACATGGATTATAACATGGATCTGACAATTTGTCAGGGTTTAAAACCCTGGCAAGTTACAAAAGAAAACAGACAAATGAGACAGTCTTTCCATGGCTAGCTCACCAGACATCGATCTTCCCATCTTACTCCATCTCACCTATTGTCTTTCTTTCCCCTGCACCTAATTTTGTGAACACTTACACTCTGTGCACACCTATTAAAAATTCCACAGCTCGCCTCCCTCCTTCATTAGAGCAATTACCACAGGAAGTCATTTGTTACCTGGGGCCTAGATGGCACTGGCACAGACATGGACACACACTTTCTCTCTCACACACACATTTTTTTCAGGAACTCGTTTGCGGCTCATAATTATTAAATGATTTAATTATTAAATGAATTAAAAAATAAAAAAAGAGTTGGAATCCGAGACATGACAATTAATGAATACCCGTATTTATATGTAAGCACATCGTTTTTAGCCTTAAGATGTGCACATTTCCTCAATTAATGTGTCATTTTTGCAAAAAACACCATTTCACATTTAACATGCTCATTGTAAAGTCACTCAAATCATTATGAGATTGAAATGAAAATCATTTGCGTTAATAATGTGGTAGGCAATAGGCATCACATTTTCTTAAATGATGCTAATGTTCAAACTGGTAGATCAGCACATACACCCTCTGAATTATTTAATAATCTGTCAAACCAACCATCCAAAATTTAGGAATGCCAGCATTCAACTCTCTTCTGTAGACAGTGCTATTGCATAATTTCTTTCAGTCACACTTGCTCATGAAATTGGCTGTCATCCTAAACATTTACCACAAGCCGCATGCAATTACAAACAGCAGGACACAGTCGTATCGGACTCAAGCCCATTTTGTCACGGGGAATCTGGCTGCTATAATGCCCTATCATGGTGCAGACACAAACAGACACACACACACACCTGTTATTTCAATGGGGTGTTTATGTGTGTTTCTGGCATGCTTTGTGGCCCCTCAATTGGCCGACGATTAGCAGGGCTGCAGGAGAAGTGTGACTGCCTGTGATAAAAAATGAAGAAAAAAAAATGACCACAGTGGTTCTACAGGTGTTCACACAAACAAACACACACACAAGTCAAGTCACCATTTATATAGCGGGTTTAACAATATATATAGATGGTTTCAAAACAGCTTTGCAGTGATCATAGGAAATTACAGTAACAGAGATTGTTTTGGCTTTACAGCAGCTCTTGAATAACGCTATTGTCCAGCTAAAGTTAGTTTTAACGCACACATATATGCAAAAATATGCCTACATACACATCTATGCATCCTACACTTTATTGGGAGAAACAGCCATAACACAAGTGTGACAAAATGTAACTGGATACAAGAGATTGGATGACAATAAAAGAGCAAAACCACATATTCTAAAACCCAAAAGCACAATATACTGTATGTGCCAAAAAGACATCCTTCATCCTTTGGCACATCCAACAATTAAAATCACAGACTGGCCAGCCAGAAGATAACATTTAGCCACATTATATATATATATATATATATATATATATATATGAAGAGTTCAGATGCAAAAGCCTCTAAATGCCATTTGAAATTTTCTTCTTTAATGATAATTTTTATCAAACTTGTATATTTAAGTTCAGTAATTTCACTTAAATAACAATTAATAGGTAATTATCATTGCCATTTAAGTGAAATTACTGAACTTAAATATACAAGTTTGATAAAAATCATCATTAAAGAAGAAAATTTCAAATGGCATTTAGAGGCTTTTGCATCTGAACTCTTCATATATATATATATATATATGTAAAATTATTTGTATTTGTACAAAAAAATATTTGTTTTCCTTTTATTTGTGTCAAAAGGAAATATATTTATATTTCTTGCAAAGAAATTACAATTAAATGTAATTTGCATTTATTACTAAATTTGCATTTACTACTAAATTATAATTTATATTATTATAATCATTATTAAATTATTATTAAAACATTCATATGCATATATATATAACTCATCTATCTGAGCCAGTTAGATAGTGTTACCTTGGTAACATTTAAATTAGCAGGAGTCTGCAATCTTCAACGTTCAATATTTCACAGTAAAACAAAGTGAGTATATGTATGTATAAAAACATTTCAATGCAATTTTTGAATATGTGCTGAAGACATCTTACTATAATGTAAATGCTTGATAAACTCTTTCTAGAGTAAAAATGTGCATTACGGTGATAATGGTGTTTTGTGTTTGTTGAGCCCTTAGTAGTTAAATTTGTAACATTCTGATATGGTATCCCATATGGTATCTAATATTTTTGTTTTTCTCTCAGTTTTAAGTGATTTAGTGGCTTTAAAAAAGGCTAACCTGAAAGCAAAACTTTTTTTTTACAGTCAAATTTCTCTGACTTACAGTAAGTCATTTTTACTGAATCTAAGTTAGAAACAGACTCCCTGTGTGTAACTCACATTGGGCATCTGTATTGACCATATTGATAGCAAAACGCCTCCTTTGGAGTGAAGATTGGGCAGGCAGAAGTTGGCACGAGTAGCAACATAACTGAGTGGGTGTTGCAGAGGGACTGTGGTTGAGCCTCGTGGGCAAATCAGAGCAAGTACACGTGTATTTTTACCATGGAGTGGGAGTAAGGGAGTTATCAATTCCACCACCGTCACAACTACAATCTATGAGCTAATGTGCTCTTTTTGTTGTTCATAGCCATGCTAGTATGTGGCGTTCTCATGTAGAAGCATGTAATGCACCAAAGAGGTTTGTGCGAGTGAATGTGACATCTTACACTGAAACATTATGTTACGTGCAACGCGTTCTCATCCTTTAACGTCATATAGAACGCTATATGACAAAACGGCGCTATACTACGCGCATGGCACACGTTATCGTTAATATAACACGCGCTGTGAGGGCTAAGTTTAGGTGTGGGGTAGGGTGTAATGCAAAGAGGCCATTTGATAGGGTTTTAGCTGACAAACGAATGCATGCGTGATGTGTTCAGGGCAGAGCGATGGGAAGGTGAGCACAGTAAAAGCAAAGCACAGCAGGTGTGGGTGCTGCATCCGTAGGTGGAACTGGAGATGGATGAGAGGGGAGAAAGAAAAAAGATTAAGCTAAATTTCACAGCTCACTATACTGCACCTCTCCTTTCTCTCTTTCTAACTATCCTGCGCCTCATCATCCTATTTCTGGGTCTTCACTCATGCAATGTCTATGCATTCACTAACGTCTTCACCTTTCTACCTCCAGGTTTTCTTTTCGAGCTTATCTCCGCTGAAAAGTCCCACATAAAACAACATGAATTCCATGTTGGTCCAGACTGTTTTATGCTAGTCAGAGCTGGTTTAGTGTTGGTCTAGCTGGTGGACAAAGATAGTCGAGCTTTTTCAGTTGTGGCCCCAAGGTTGTGGAATGATCTGCCTCTGCACGTCAGATTAGCCCCTAGCCTACACACTTTTAAATCACGACTTAAGACACACTTTTATTCATTGGCATTTACTCCTGCTTGAGAGTTGTACCTTGTATAGTTTTATAGTTTATTGATTGTTTGAATTGCTTGCTTGTTGTTGTTGTTTATCTGTTAATGTACAGCACTTTGGTCAACCTTGGTTGTGTTTAAATGTGCTTTATAAATAAAGTTGGTATGGTATGGTATGGTATAGTCAAAACTGTATTTTTCAGCAGGGTTTTAACTGTTAGCCTCTATCTTCCTGTCCACTTTTGGCATGTAACAAACACACCTCTCCCCTAGTATTAAAAGTTCAGCAAGACCTACTAAGAAGAAATTTTACATAAGCCACTAATGATGCACTAAGTATTTTGTTCCTCATTAAAAAGTTTTCCTCCTAAAGCCAAGAATAGTGTTTTTGAAATATTACATATGCTCACAAGATGAATCTATCTATCCATCCATCTATTTATGGCTCTTTTTTTTCTCCCCAAAAAAATAATCAAAGCTGTCACGCAAAAATTTGAACTTTGTTTTTGCTTTCCTAGTTAAAAATGAGTCATTATGAGAATTCATTTCATTATAAAGTATAATTCATGATAGATAGATAGATAGATAGATAGATAGATAGATAGATAGATAGATAGATAGATAGATAGATAGATCCTTCCATCCATCTAGACAGTACAACACTGCAAGAAATGAAGATGGTGGACAGAGGAAAGTTAAGTGAAGAATGCATGTAACTTATGGGTACATTATTCAAAATGAATGTAATATATTCAGTACTGACACAAATAAAATGAGCTCCCCCCTCTCCGCACCTGACTCTGTGATGATGCAAAATCAATAATAGAAGTCAGCACCCTGAGCGCTGTTCACTTGGTGTTCTAGTTCATTGTTCCGTCACATAGCAACTTCAGCAAAGAGGAGGGGCGCACGGAGGAATGAATTATTGGAAAACATTGGCTTGCACTTGCAGAATGCACTTCCTTCATATGTGTGTGTGTCAGTTAGTTTTTCCGCTCTATGTATTGATGTATTACTGCATTACCAAAATGAAAGCCCTGAAGTGTCCTTGGCAAGGACATTTAACACTTCCAGTGAATGTCTAAAACACATTCACTCTGTAAATCAGGTTTCAGGGAGTATAGAGACATGAAAAGGTGGATGAAATGAGGAAAGAAATAAACAATTGGCTCTGATTAAACTGGGTGTTACAAAAAGAATGTTGTGGTCTCACACCCACACCAGTGAACCCAGCAGAGATGAACACATTGCAATGAATGCCTCCCGAGACAATCAGAGGCAGGCAGGCGGGCTCTGACGTCACACGCACGCATGTGGAGAGAAGAGGTGATCAGCATCTGCTCTGGCATTAGTTTTTCTCAGAGAAAAGGGAGGCATGTGAAGGAGGGGGCCTGGGAATGGCTGATCGTGCAACACTCCAACAGAAAAGAGAAGTAGAGAGGATGAATAAACTCATGCAGTGATTGGAAAAGTGTGAGTGGCAGCATCATGATGTTAGATTCCCACGCACAGAAAACGCAAACAAAAAAATTAATAAATGCGTGAAAGCCATTTCACAATACACGTATGTGTGCATGCAAACAAACAAACACCCACACCTACACGTGTGTATGTATATATATATATATATATATATATATATATATATGAGGAAAATGGCAGAATAGCACATTGGCGATTCAAGCTGTTCTGAAATGTGTGTTATGCAATGCAATTTTTCACTTAATATATAAACTGACTGAGACCCATACATATTCAGACTGCCTTGTACCTATCAATATGGATTGGAATATGCATGGAAATGATATGCAGATGACAGTATATGCAAAAAATCAAAGGCAGCGATATTAGTTGTTCTTACTGGCTGGTATTAATCCAAATCCTGGTCCAGTGGGAATTGTTCCAATACCTTTGGATTTTTCAAATAGATCAGGGCTTTTGATATTTTGGTTATCTCAATTTCAGACCACGACATTGCATTAGAAGGATATACTGTGTTTAGAGCTGATCGTAAAAGTAAGGGGGTGAGGTTGCAATGTAAGAAATCAAATTTTCATGCAACTGTTCTTAAATCTGTCTCTCTCAAACGGTTTGAGCTTTTGGCTATTGATCTGGAATATGGAAAATATTGTAATTTATGTATAGTTGGTTGCTATAGACCATCTACAGCTATCAGTGATGCTGCTTGACATAAGGAAGATCATTGGAAAAGGTTGTGTAAGAGCAGCCCAAGACAACTTCCTTGAGGCACCCCATGTTCCACAACCCTTAACTTTGAAAAACTACCATTAAAATAAACTAGTCATCTTTTATCTGACAAATAACTTCTCATCCATTTGTGAAAAGCCATGATATTCCATTTTTTTAACAGTAAGTCGTGGTCAATTATATCAAATGCTGCAGTGAAATCAAGCATTACAATGCCTATTATTTTCCTCTCCTCCATATCCTCGAACCAGTCATCAACCATCTGAGTCAGGGCAGTGGCTGTTGAGTGTTTTCCTCTATATGCATGCTCAAAAGTTGTAATCAAATCATTATTCAT